ATTATCATAAGTTGCAGCTATTTTTGATTCATGGTATGCTATGCATTTATAGCCGACCCATACTTTGCTGTAATACTCAACTGAAATATGGGAAGATTTTACGTTTAATATATTAAAACACTTTATACTTCTATACATAATACATTATATTTATGATTCTGAGAGAGTAAAAAAGCAGAAAATGAAAACATGATCTACTAAAAGTTATCTGCTACATATCCTTTTTCATTACGCTTGCATTTATTTTAAATTATTCGTAAAGAGCACGTAAAGAGAGTTGTAGGAACCATCAAGAAGTTAGAAATGCTTTTAGAAAAAACTTCGAAGGATTTTTTAAAAATAATTCTTTGTATTCATTTGGGCTAGCTAGAACATCGTTAGTAGTTTTTAATTAGATTCTTATTACAATGGCCGCAGAATAGCTTTTTGCACGAAAGAAGAAGCGACGGAATCAATTTCCGCAATTAAGGGATTCTCTTAGGAGCAACATTTTAATGGCCATCCCTAATTTTCCTCCCTTTAAGTTTTGTTAGAAATAGCGGTGAGGGTCACTGTCATTATTTCTTGTTAAAGATAACATTCATGTCACGGTAGCTTCAGTCTAATATTAATATCTTTGATATTAAATGAAACTCGTTTACGGATTTTATCGCGTTTAATTTTGATTTTTTTCCCGACGTTTCGAAGCCTTTCCAGCGTTCATGGTCACGGGACAGAAAATAAAATCCGTAAATTAGTTTCATTTAATATGTATAATATTCGCGTAAAATGAAGAAGTCAATATCTCTGATACACAATTTGAACAGATGTATTGAAGAAAAAACGTTTATTCACGGTCTAAGCACAATGAATACATAAAAAAGTTAAAAATAATAATTTAACTACACAATATATAAAGTAATATGAGGAAAAGTTAAAATAAATGTAAACATAACAAAAAACAAACAAAATAATATAGTCGAAATTAAGTTAAGATTTTTGTTACTGTGATAATATTTAGATGAACGAATGATGTGACGCTATAATAATTTACGAAGTTATTTCTTGATGAGTTGAGTTGAATTGCTTCACACTTTTAATAGTGCGGATAATATCAGCTTCTCCTTATACATATTGTCATATATGTAAAGATTCAGATTAAAGAATATTTTGGAGATAGGAAATTGTTTGAACATGTAACTTTGTCAATCCAGTTAAAAATATACATTCATACAGAACAGTAAATAAGACATAGATTAGATGGATTTTTCCTTTCGCCTAGTACTTCATTTAAATAAACTTAAGGAAAACTTGACATGAGGTGAAAACAATCCGTCTCATATTTTGTTTGATTGACCTTTGACTATTTATATATCATGGGAATAAGCAGCTAAATTCCGTCAGTCATCTGAGTGTCTAAGTGAAATAAGTTGTCATAGTTGAGATTAAGGAAATTGAAACTGTCAAGCGAACTAATGGACAGTTGATGATAGGATATAAAGCGAACATTTTGGTCCGGTTCATGTTCGTGCATGAGTAAACGTCCGCGCGAATCCCGCAATGTAACGCTATCGGAAACCGTAAAACAGGGTCTAATTGAACAACGGCACTCCGTACCAGCAAATAGTGCTGTTTGCGCTAAGTTCCTGGTGCAATACATTAGGCGTCGCCGAGGCTTCGAATGTACTGGAATTTGGCCGGCAGTTTTGCGTCGACCGTTGTCCTGTGACATAAATATTCAACGCTATAGCTTAACTGATAGCTATGTTCTCATTATAAAACTCTGAATGGTTATTTGGAAATTAGTTCAGATATCTGTCGTTTTTTTAATGATTCCTTGAGTATGAAATTTTATTCCCCTTCCAAACTGGCAAACTGATGAGTCTTGATTTCTAATGGTGGTACCATTGGTCTTCAACAATAAATATAAGGTTGCATTGGTTATTGTTTTAGTAGCGTGAGCCCCGAATACATTATTGACTCATACTTCTCGTGAGAGTTTTTTTCGTAAAATGCTTTTGTGTAATGATTGGTGATGAAGCTGAAATAAATGTATTTATACAAACTATATTGCCCTTTTCAATCCAGGGCGGAAAGAACATGCACCACGTAAGGTTAGTTTTAAGGATAGATGTTTTTTCAATTGCTTATCATACAATTGTCTAGATGTCTAAGAGAAATCCTTGTGACGATAGAACATGTATGCAATTATTAGGCTATTGCATAGCTTTTATGCAGGCTTTGAGCGCGGCGGCGAGAATCAAGAAATTCCGTAACGAAAATAAAACCTAACACCCCCCACTCCGCCTACCATGTAGCTCGGCCGAGCGTTCACTTAACGTGTATGTATACGGTACGACAAAAATGGTAAGATATGATATGATATGGTATGGCATGATAAAAATCCCTGAATAACCTACATGTACCATTGTAAGATAATAAAAATATTTTAAACGATACTAACTTTACATTTGTTCAATAAAAGAAAAAAAAAATGTTTTCTTATCAGTCACCACGCTCATAAACTTGAATTAATATCAAAGAAAAAAATACTGCATAAATAATAAATAATTAATTATAATTATGGCTTTCCCGCGGCAGTCCCCGAGTGCCACAGGTTTTTATATGAAATTGTTTTATTTCTTTTCTATTTCTTATTAATACCTCATGAAAGTAGACAAACATTGTAACCTTGTCGTTTCCGTTCTCTACATCTCGTTCAGTAGAGTAACAGCTCTACATCAGCTGTGACTTGCCGAAACGAATTGGAAAACGTTATGCATTCGAAGTAAGGGCGTAATTTTATTTTACGGCAAATTACGATAGAAAAAAGAATGTCGCAGGCGAAACGTATCGGGTATGCGGAGAGGAATACGGTACTTTATTCATAATTTATTGGGCCGTGTGCGCCGTGTATTATTTACAAGGGCCCTCCTGTCCTGTACCATGTTTATGAGTAATTGAGTGTGTCATTTGTGTTGCAAGCCTCGATTGGATGGGCGCATATCGACACTGACAATGTACGGCGATGAGCTCAGTGTAATACAAATCGACTCCTCTCAGATTATAGGTGTCGGCTTTCGTTGCTTTTGAGGCGTTTTTCTATTGACATATAATTAACCAATGTAGCAGTACTTAAGGACAATATTTTGTACACCATTACGATACTTTTATTTTGCTTAATACCACAGTCAACATTTATTTTAAACTTTGACATGTAAATCGTTTTTGTCTTGAGAATATTATATTTACAATTATATTGAGAAATCATGGAAGGCGCATTCAATCCCTACGCATTTGCAAAGGCTAGAACTAAACTTAATGTGCAACTTGTTTTATGTAATATTTTTTATTTCTTTCAAATAACTTTTGAACATTTAATTCTTTACACAGTCTTGCAGTTTAAGTAGAACGCAACTAAATAAACTACTAAACGTATGGTACTGTATGTATATAAGACTAATCACCATTGCTTTAATTTACGTTTAATTAAGTTTTAGCACCAGTCTCTACTAGTACAAGTACTCGAGACGATACTTATAAGCAATTTTTTTTTAGATAAACGGACAAAAACTTTCTGCGCTGCAGGATTCAAACCTTCGTCTTTCGTCTTTTTGCCCACCTGTATATAAATATGAACATTTTAGTGGTTCAATTTCGCATAATTGTTACTTATTGTACAAACAAAACTACATACAAACAGTTACTATACAAGCTACAACAACTAAACGAGTGAATTGCGGCAACTCTTTATTTCATATAGTTTCTTTACAAACTCGATTCAATACGTAATTAAAGATAAGAACATCAATTTATTCTATTAAGCTCCTCTTACAGACGTTACAAGGTTTCAATAATGTTAAGCTTCACGTCAAACGGGTTCCTACCTGTTGCTCTGCGTTACATTCCTCTTTGAAATCTCTTTGCGAGATATCTTAAGATTTATATCAAATACGTCCATTGGGATACACCTTTGATTTTCAACTCCAAGGTATTACAAACCAAACATATTTGTTAGAATTATTTATTAAAAAACAAAATCTAAATTTGTGTATCGGTAACAGATTTGACGTTTGCAGAAACTTGAAACGAACTTAAATTAATTTAGGAGATTTTGTATTTGACTTTGAAAAGTTTTGTCATTACACTACCTGCGGATCGGCTCTTAAAGAGTTTTGAGTAAAAGACAAATTGCCAAAAGATATGTATAAAGGCTGTGGTGAACAGCTGGTTCATGTAACAAAGTCAAAAATGTTGTACGTATTAATTAAAAAAAAAACGTTATAGTAAATTGTCCTGAAACAAGTTTATTGAGTAAATTAATATGTAATATAAATTTGAAAAAGAGCTTTAATTGGCATTGTCAATTAATTAAAGATTCGCTACTAGTCGCCTATTTTAACGCAACAGTGGTACGGGACACGAATACACATGTTACTGTTCAAGGAAGTATTCGTAGCTTAAAATTAAAATTATACAAGAAATCACTATTATTTTTGCTCGGGCTACTAAATTCATAAAAGTAGAGTTGTTTTTAATTCTATATACCTCAGCAACCTGTGTTGTAATCAAGGTTTTAATGAATCTGTTTATGACAATTTTAACTCTTGATTTGTCACGTGCGCTGTGGTGAAGGAAAACATCGTGACGAAACTTGCATATTTTCGAAACAATAACAAAAGATAATTCGTAGATGTCTCGAGTTTGGGGTCGCCGCAATGGGCTCGCGTGTTGATCTATGCCCTAATACCCTCTATATAGCGGAGGCCCAGTAGTGGAAAAAATATAGGCCGTTCATTTATGATACTTTTTTAGAGAGTCAAGAGCCCTTATGAATTTGAAAGCATAACAGATGGAGCGAGGACCCACTCTTCAACGTGTAACTCGCTAAACGTTACAGACGACGAAAAGTTTATTTACACCGTTTAAAACGAAACTCAACTCGGTTAAAATTAAACCGCGCACAGCATGTTGCAATAAATAAGTCCTGCCCGCGACCGCCTCTCCCATTTCAGTCGGATATGCGCCGAAACGCAGATCCAATTGCCCGACGCGGGCCGGTACGTACGCCGAACGTTTCGGCGAGGGCCGAACGGGCACTTCCTTTACTAATTCAGGCCACTTGAGTATGCCGCGCCGAGCCCGGATTACGCGGGCGGCGATAAATCTTAGGCTAGGGGTCCCTGCGCGTTTATAAATTTAACACGGTGCCCCCGACATGTGGGGCCCGTTCTGCGAAAAAAAGCGCGCCCTCTTTTTATAATTCACAGCGCGACCGTCGTCCAATTAGGGGACGGACGAGTGCGGGGCCCGTCGCGAAAGCTCTCGACATCTTCATGTCCCCGGAACAGAGGTTCGGATTGTTCGGGAATTGTTAACTTTCAAACTTCGCCTCCGTGTCAGTTTAGACATTCTTTTGGTAGTAACTTATTGTTTTTAGCGTTCCGTACCCAAAGGGGACGGTAAGGGGTCCCTATTACTAAGACTCCACTGTATGTCTGACTGTCCGTCTCTTATCAGGCTATATATCTCATGAACCGTGACCGTTAGGTAGTTGAAATTTTCAAGGATGATGTATTTCTGTTGCCGCAATAACAACAAATACTAAAAAACAGAAAAAAATGTTTAAGTGGGGCTTCCATACAACAGACATTGTCGTTTTTATAGATAATGTTACGGAACCCTTCATGCGCGAGTTTGACTCGCACATGGCTGGTTTTTTTTTCTTAAAAGTAAAAAAAAGACTTTGTCTTGAAGATTTTTCATCCGGTTACGTTTTCCCTCTTAAAAGTTTTAATACAAATAGGTAATGGGACTTCCGCATGTTGAGTAGATCTTAAAAAGTGACTCCATTTGTCTCTTTGAAAACTCTTCGTTCAGCTCCATTGGCATAATTTTCCATATTATTTACAAAAATTCCTGTCTGAATCATTTTTCAAGAAACAAAATGTGAATGAAGGAACGTTGAATTTACGAAGTTTGATAAAATTTTGGTAATGACCTACGATTTATTTCGGTGCAGAAAAATATGAGTCTGGTAAAAAGCAGACAATAAGTCGGTTCCTGACAGTTTGTTTTAAAAAATTTCTTTTAAATGTTATTTTCGTACTCATTACTGGCTTGTAAACACTTTTTTTTAGTTGTATGATTCTGAAGATTACGAACAAAATGGTCGTAAATATTAAACATTCGGTGATTCCTTGGCGCACTTGCCAAGTTATTTGGTTTCGGGGGTCGTGCGTTCGATTCCCACTCGGGATAACTATTTGTGTGACCCACAGATAGTTATTTCGCATCTGGGTGTTTGTCCACGTGAAATGTATGTTTGTAAAACGTCCTTACAACACAGGATAATGTTATCCTAAGGTAAGGGCAATGTTTGTAAATAAAAGAAAACAAAAACATTAACCATTTTGATCATGTCGTATTTTCAATACACAGTTAATAGCCGATGTTTAATACATAAATTTTTAACAGAATTTAAATATCTTTTTTCATTGTTACAGGAAATCGCAGCAATATTGATCAGCTTCGACAAACACACCGAATGGCAGTCGAAAGAAGTCAAAATTCGGTAAGTGAATAAAACTCTTTCTTTAGAATAAAGGCATCCCCGTTAAAGTCTATGCATATTAATGGCGTACCTTACAGAAGTAAATACGTAAGCCGTACTAAATTCACAATCGGAATGGCAAACGAAAAGAATGTACCCACAAGAGCAGGAATTGAACTATCAGTAGTATTACGTCTTCCTACTTTCGTCCGCGACTGTACCTAATTTGGCGCCCAACGAGGGACCCGTTCCAACTTGTAATAAGTTTAAGCAAATTAAAACTTCGACCGTGACTACTGCTCGCTTTGTCTGCGCCGCTGAAATATTAACTCTTTATGAGGACGTAGTGTACTTGTGGAATTCTGATGCGGCCGCGGAGCCGAGTCGTTAGTTTAAAATTTAATACGGATCGCGGTTGTAAGTTAGTTTTAGAAGTCGACGGTTTCGGTACGGATTTTTCGCATTAAATCTTCCTCTTTGAGCTCATCGGAGTAATAAATAGAATTTATGCGGGGCCCGGCTATCTGTGGGACGCAAACTTCTTCAGTTTGAATATAAAGGGCAGCTACTCTGTAACTTACCGAAATTGTATTAGATGTAACAAATTCTAAATATTTCAGATAAAAAATTTGTGAATGAACTCATATTTATGTTGACTGAAGCTGTCTAACTACTTACAGTTTGAATTCATTTTAAACAATGTGATAATTGACTTATTACTTAAGATATACTCGTAAGTTAAGTTCAGTGTCTTCATACAAAAAGAAACTAATACAATTTTTTTAATAAGATAATAAACAATCTCAAAAGTGATAGCACTGTTGGACCAAACATGAGCTCTGCTAATTTTATTAAGATTTTAACTAAGTCTATTAATTTAATTTGTAGTGTAGGTGGAATACGTAAGTTAATATTTGTATTTAAAAACATAAGGAATGTGATGAATGAGGAGAAAATTAAAACAGTTTAACTTGCTGTTGGCCAGGCCCAATTCAGTTACGGCACCATATTATTGATACTCGAAAGAGCTCAAAGAGCAGTTTTAAAGGTAGGTTTTTTTCCTATGATTCTTCCATATCACTGTTTGCCTAAAGGCAGTGTATGCCCCTCACAGTCTGTAAGCTTTATATTCTGCGAACGGTCACAAAGTAACATTTTTTGCTGACATAATACCAATTTGATTGAGAGTCGACGTAGAAAGGACATTGTCTGCTCAGTGTACTAATACAATTATTGAAATGAGAATAGTTACATCCATTATGCGATATAATGTTTATTTCCTCAAAATTTCATACCCTGACTTTTAATTGTACGGATATGGGCGAGTTATAAAGTATCCGAAATTTAGGCGTATACAAAAATATGTAAATTTCAAATGAAAATAAGACTACGGGATGAAATGAAATAGAATGAATAATATTTGTAAAGGCTTGTTCCGCTTTCATTTGGAATTTGGAGCAACGTTTTTATTATTATCTTCGCTGAATACATTATCATTACAGAGATGCGTGTTTGTGTGTGTGTGTGTGCGCACGTTAATTCATAAGTATCTAAAAGTATTTTATTCTATGTAGTCATTTGTTTTCGCTTTCCAGAGCTAATACTAGAATAATTATTATTATGTTACACGAGATTATGCATTTCATCGGATTGTCTAATAAATCAGCCAGTAATATTAATTAATACCATCATTAGTATACAGTTATGAGTGCCGTGCTCTATTGACTTGATCCCGTCCATTTGATCTGATCCAGGCAATTGAAGATCGTTCATTAGGTAATTACGCATGAAACACGTGTTTAATACATTAACATCATGGTACCAGTTTGGATTTATGTGGATACGCCGCCCATATCAGTTAGCGGTCCGTCCTTAATTCTCGCAAGTCAAGGGATTAGCACTTGATTGGCCATACTTATCCATATTTTGCTCGCTTGACTATTACAATGTAATTATTATCACATGTATACGGTTTCGTAATTAGAAATTGTGTCACGCCCGTATGCTATATACGATTTGATTAATTTACCTTCCTGTGTTTACCTAAGTTAATGCGTAGTTGTACACTCAGTAAAGCTTATTAAGAGTGTCAATTAACTGTTATATTCGGACAAAAAATGTATTCTACTTAGATTATAAACTTTTCGCTAAAAAAAATTCGGTGGGCGGTATTTATTTAACATTACCTACTGTTAAATGAATACCGGTTCACCTATTTTTAAATGAATACCGCCGCCTCTAAAATACCCGATGACTTGTTGATACGTTGAGAACCTTTGAAGTTGTGGGTCCCGGTTACATACTCACTAGACGAAACGCGACAGCTTAATACTTCCACTTCGATGGTCTTCTGTGAGGCCGTGGTACTTCCCCGGATGGGCCTGCATTTGTGCAACACCAGAAGCTGTTGCAAGGTTACCATAGTCAA